CCACCGGGTTGGGGTCCCCCCCACGACGCCGGCTCCCGGCAGGCTCCTCTCCTCCCTCCTGCCGGGGGGCTGCCTTAGACTTCGGCACCTCCTCATCTGCAGCGACCTCCAGGGCCGGGGGCTCCTCCTCTGGGGCTGCCTCCGGCATCGCTCTCCTTTTCCCCCTCCGCCTCCGTTTAAAGCGGACCCTTTTTTTGGGAGACAGGGGCGCCTTTCCCGCAGCTTTTTCTTTCTGCTCTTTAACGCAGCCCAGAGAATTCCCCATCTCCTCCTCCTCAGCGCCAGCAGTAACGCAGCTAAGCGAGTCGCCGGCTCCCGAATAAATCCCGAGCCGGGCTTCATCGGATCAATCGCACGCCGTACACCGTGCCGCGGACTGCCCCTTGCCGCCACTCCCTCCCGCCAGCCCTGCCGCCGCCGCTCCAGACAGCCATCTTACAGCCTGGGCGCTGCGAGAAGACAAATTCAAAGCATCTCACTGCAGTTCAGAAATCACTTGACCTAAAAGCAGAGGGAGCGGGGATTGGCTGCGGCGTCCTTCTCTCCAAATATGAGGTAATTGGAGCACGGCCCTCGCCAACACAAACAGGGAGCAGGAATCAGGCAGCGGGGAGGGGGAGCGGGAGAGGCTGGGGAGGGGGGGGGAGGATAAAAAACACAAAACCCGGGGAAGGTTGGCAAAGGTAGAATAAAGGAAGGGGTGGGAGACAAATGGAAGAGAAAAGAAAGAAAAAAAAACAGGGAGGAGTCAGAGTGGCTCCACAGGCACGCCGACGGGGATGCGGAGCCGCCCCGCCGGCTCCCGCAGGGGTATTTCTCTCAAATTCGGGAGGTTTGCTCCTTAATTCTTAATACCGAGAACCCCAAGAGGCCAGCTCACGTGCCCACCCTCCTGCCAGGCTCACCCAGCTCGGGGCACGGAGGGGCAGCCCAAGGTGCCCTGGGGAGCTGGCATCGCTTCAGGGAGTCGCAGTCGCGGGATCCCAACGGGCTACAACGGTGCCAATGCTCCTGTCCCAGTCCTGCTCCACGTCCTGCCTCTCCCTCCTGCAGCTCCTACCCCAAACCCTGCGCCAAGGGCAGGGGTCTGAGGAGCATGAAGCATCCCGACCCCTCCCGCCAGCTCGGAGGGACCAGAGAAGGGTAACGCATGCCAAAAGCAGGGACGAGACAGAAGACAGGGAGCAGGGGCCCCCCCCGAACGCC